CACTGTCAATGTGACAGTAAACTCCAAGTCAAAGGTTTTGTCAGAGGCATTAAGAAAGCTTGGATTTTACTTGTAAAATCTTGTGCGTTTTGCAAAAGTGCTGACTGTTCAGTCCCGAAGAAATTTCCCTGCTCCAGAGACTAGTTATTACTGTGTGAGATTTTTTCCCCCTCACATGAGATTCATTATTCTAGAGCATAAGAAATGCTGTAGAATGTATTTTATTTCAGCCTGTAAACTCACAAGGGAGTATCAGTGTAGGTGGCATGTGCTTTAAAGGGTTTGTTCTCTTCTCTCATCTTTCTTAAGGAAATAAATGGGCCTTGCATGTAGATTTACTGGCAGGAATTTATACAGGTAATTTCAGCTGAAGTCTTTATAACATGATGAGACCTTTGCAGACTTTGGGAGGAAAGGAAATGGCCTTAAAAATCACACTCAGGGAGAAGCAGTGGCAGATGAGCTAGGATGCCACAAATCAGGATTAGACTGTTACTGCATGTAGGTGAGGAAATGCATTTTATTGATTGATTAATTTGATATGAATTGTACAAAAGCTGCCCATTACCATTGAGCTTTCTGGGTAGCCATTACAATAAAAGTGTTGCCAAATAACATTAAATAAAATGGTATGTTATGGTACAGAAATTAAGTCTATTCTACACATATTTACCTCTAGCCACTAAATGACATGCCATCAACATCATGAACAGCAAAATTCACTCCCAAAATGTTAGCAGATGGCCACCTTAAAAATGGTAAAATGATTATGGCAATGCCAACTATGTACACTGAGAAAAGAGCTGATGTTTCAAAACTCCTCCCTTTGCATATTCCTATTAGTCTCCTGTCCAAATCAAGTAGACAGAAATTATCCAGTCTGTGTCCTTGCATACTCAGTTCACTGGAACAAGGTCATTTCTGTGAAGCTGCTGAAATCTAAAGAATTGATGCTTTAATCTGGCACTTAACTGTATTTTCCAAGCCAGGCTTCCCCATCCTGGTGCCTGACCACTGGCCATGCTGGCAGGGACTAATGGAACATCTGTAGGAAAACAGGTTGGGGAAGACTGCTCTAAACTATTAGTCTACCAAGTAACCTCTTCTATTATTTCAGTTTGGCAGAAATAAAACTAAGGTATATCATAAGATTCAAAACTAAAAGTGAGTGTTGATGTTTTGCAACACCAGTGTAACGGCATTTAAAAAAAAAAAAAGGATGCAGGGGGATCTGGGAAATTACAGGCCAGTTAGCTTGACATCTGTTTTGAGTCAACTGCTTGAAAGCATCATTAAAGATACGATCCATGAGCACATAGAGAGGCAAGCCCTGATGAAAAAAAGTCAGCATGGCTTCCACAAGGGGAAGTCTTGTCTCACTAACTTACCAGAGTTATTTGAGAGTGTCAACAAGCATGAAGACAGGGGTAATTCAGTAGACAATGTTTACTTGGACTTCGAAAGTCCCTCATCAAAGGCTCCTGAGCAAACTAAGCAGTCATGGAATTAAAGGGGAGGTCCTCTTTGGAACACTAATCAGTTAAAGAACAGAGGACAGAGGATGGGAATAAATGGCAACTTTTCCCAATGGGGAGATTTAACCAGTAGAGAACCACAGAGTTCTGTATTAGGACCAATGATTATCAACCTTTTCAAGTGATCTGGAATTAGGAGTAAGTAGTGAAGTGTATAAGTTTGTTGATGGCAGTAAACTATTTAGGATGGTCAAAACCATAAAGGATTGTGAGAAGCTCCAAAGGGATCACACCACGCTGGGAGAATGGGCATCAAAATGGCAAATGCAGTTCAACATAAGTAAGTGCAAAGCAATGCCTGTTGGGCCAAAAAATCCCAACTACAAGTATACACTGATGGGATTGGAGCTAGGGGTGACTGATCAAGAAAGGGATCTTGGCATGGTAGTAGACTATGAAATGGTAGCTCAGTGAAAATGTTGTCCCAATGTGAACCTGCTGGAAGAAAGACAAACTCCATGCTAGGCATGAATAGAAATGGAATAGAAAATAGAACTGTCAAATTCTTACTCCCTTTATGCAAATTCTTGGCATGACTGCACTTAGAATATTGTGTTCAGTCCTGATCATCTTATCTGAGTAATGGCATTATCAAATTGAAAAAAGTACAGAGAAAAGCAATGAAAATGATTAGAGGGCTCGGGCTTCCCTATGAGGAGCAGCTGCAGCAACTGGAACTGTTCAGCTTATTAAAAAGGCAAGTAAGGGGAGACATGATAGAGGTGTTTGAAATTATGAATGGAGTGGATAAATAGATTACTCCATTTATCCACTTTGAACCCAGCTTCATACCTTGAAGCTGACTGGGAGAAGGTTAAGAATAGATGAGAGGAACTACTTCACACAACATGAAGTTGTGGAAGTGCTGATGGCCACCAATCTAAATGGTTTTAAAAAGAAACAGGACAGATTCATGGAAGAAGAGGCTATCCGTGGCTACTAGACTTACAGACTACATGCTACTTCCTTCACCAGAGGTGTCATGCCTGCATATATGGGTTGCTGAGCAGCTTTGGCAGGCAGCCATCTTGCAGCTATCCTGTGGGCTGGTTTGCCATTGTGTTTATACAGTAATGGATTGGATGGACCTTTGGTCTGATCCAGCATGGATTTTCTTATGTTCTTCTTAAATTCAAAAGCACTTAATCAGCTGAATATGGAGAAGCTTCCTGTATCAAACCCAATAATCCCAATACTACATCAGAACAAATCTTCCCTGTAATCTTCTAAGTGTTTATAAACTCATTTCCTTTTCTGTGATAATCCTAAAATTCTGATTTCTTTTACCTCACTTGATAACCAAGTTAGCAAGAAAAAAACTGTAAAGAGCACTTATCAAAGTACTACTCATCCAACCAAATCACAGTATGTCCAAATCAGCAGATAATCACAACGCCAGCTTGATCCTCCTCTTGTCCCCCTTGAACACTTCAGCAAGATTCCTTCCTCTTCTGTTTGTATCAACTATAAAAGGCTCTTTATATTTTAAGAGAACTAAAAAATGTAACAGGAGTAGCAGCATATGTGCTCATCCTGGCAACCATAAATATACAAGAGTGCTTTTTTTTGGCTCTCCCCAGTACAATGTTTCATAGACTAAGCAAAATGTAATTTACAATTCCCTTACCATCATTAAAGGAGCATACAAAGCCCTTCCAAACAACATTTATCATTCATAAACCATCTTGGAACTGTCCTGATCCTCTTGCTAGCATAAATTGCAGAGTGGGAGATTTAAGGTCAATGAGGTGAGGGAGGAGGACAAGAGACTACCCAGAGACTGCTGTATAGAACTTCATTTATTTTTGTTCCTGATCTTGATGGGTGATTCTCTGCCCAAGCTTCCAATTCAGTGAAATGGTGTTGCCAGCAATGGCAGTACAGAAACCTGTTACCAAAAATTCCTGTATATAAACGCATGATGCTTATCAATTTACCACAAACCTGTACCTGATAAAATTCTTCTTACCATTTGGCAGCATGATATAGACGTTCAAGTAAAAATAGGAAGCCGCCTACTGGTCCATGTAGCTAAGGAATACCTACTCTGACCACTGCTCAGCTCTTCAGGGTTTTTGCTACCACTTGTTTATGTGCCCACCTGTCTGATTCCTTTCCACGGGTTGAATTTGGAACAAGGGGTGGGCAAATGTGTCAATTTGACTTTCTCCTTCATTTCAGTTCTTGAAATCTCAGGATCTTTCTCTCCACAATATGAAAAAGCTTGTGAATGGACTGAGACAACTTTTTCACACATCTGAATCAGGCAAATTCAATAGGGGTATGTGAGGAACCCATTTTGGGGTTGGGAATCTACTGGATTCCCTGAGCTTGGCTCCTCAAACGCTGGCCCACCTTCTCATGACCATGAGCCTGACTTCCTGGTGAACATGCTCATTGTTTGCATGGGTAGCAGCCAGGAATATGGTCCACACAAATGCTGTGCACGAAGTGTCCCTCTTCTGTGCAAATGACTAAAGGCTGTTGAGCTGCTCAAGCTGTGGAAGAAGGTTGCTTGTTTCACAACTGAGTTTTGTGAGTGTCCGCAAAAGTGATCACCTCCCTTCCTAAGTGAGAGCTGAGCATGAGAAGTCCAGCAAACAGAAGAGGGCAGGATTTTGGTTAGGATTGTCACATCTGAGTGGGATGGTGTAAAATGGTGTCCTGCAACAGCAAGGGGTTGGACACGATGTCCTTCATGGCCCCTTCCAACTCTACTATTCTATGATACTATGAACCCTACGTACACTTATTTTCCCTGCATGAAGAAGACTGCTCTATACCAGCCTGCTCTACAGCTGTTATAGATAAGGAACAGGTCTGAAAAACAAAATGGCACTTAACATGGCTGAATGTCCAGAGATTCACACCTGGATGTTTAAGAGCTAAGAACTCAAAGCCCTGGACTGACAGATCTGTCAGTTTTGGTTCCTCCCACATTCAAAGTGTTTAAATCTGAATTTCATGTTATCCCAATATGGGTAACTTTGTGAATCCTGATACATCTTTCTCTAAACTGAATGCAAGCAACCCAGGTACCCTTTGATAACTGAAATATTCTACATGGCAAGACTGTGTCCTGCCACTGAGCTTTGCTCCTCTTTGCAAGTGGTTGTTAGAACTCATCCTGGACTACTTTCCCCAGAACTCCCATGAATATGTGTTTTATTGACCTTGGCTGCACACGTCTCTAATGTTATTATGTTTCCCTTGGTTGGCGTAATTTCCAATGTGATTTTTAAATATAATCATACTGGCAACGTGCATAACACTGATGAACATCATCTATATAATCAAGGCTAATAACTATTCCACTAACTTTGACTGCTCTGTAGCTGGTATCAGTTCTTTAAACTCTCAGTGATCTTGGACACACATGTAAAGTCAACAATTTGTTATACTCAGAAAAAATATTCTGACTGATTTCCTCTAAAGCAAGATAAGTGTGCGTGTACGCTCACTTACTGTTGGTTGCATAACATATGACGGATGAGGCATCCATGAAGTACTCTGAACCTGTAAATGAGAAGACACTAGATTAGCACAGTAAAAAATCAACTATGGTCCAACAACAATCTTGCTTAAAAAGAAGGCATACAGCAGATTGAGAGCTTGGTGCTCCAGTTTGGAAAGCACAACTGTCTTAATTTTAGATGTTTTTAAAGAGTCACTGCGAATCATATTTATCAGATTTACTTCTGAGAGTTGCATTTTAAGCCCTATTGCGGGGCCTCTTTTATGATTTTAAGAGCATCTGTGGACAAGTGGAAGCTATAACTCAGAGCTAAGCTACAACAGTGATTGTCATGGGGACTGCCAGTAATTCACCTGGTAGACAGGAACTGTAGAGCAGATGCCGTATTCCCTAGGCCAGTCTCTCTTCAGCCCACCAGCAAGATCTGAGGCCAGTCATTCCCAAGGGACCAAGAATGCTTAAGAACGGAGGAGACTAGTTTGCTTTTAGTCCCAGTGGTGGCAGCCAGTATCAGCTGCCACTGCTGCACCAGGCCATGCAGCTTCAGAGGGTGTTTCCTACAAGTGTCATAATCCTAGCTGGGCAAAGGATAATTATTTTTTTTAAAGTTCACAAGTCAGGAATCCTAACAATCCTACTCAAAATCTTTTGGTTCAAACGTTAAAGTTCAGCGTTGCTCCAGGAATTATATCAATAGCTTAAGTGCAAAAAGTTATTATATTTATCCTATTATTCTAGGAGGGCGTTGGTGCTGATAGATGGCCTATAAATACATGTGATAGATAGATAGATAGATAGATAGATAGATAGATAGATAGATAGATAGATAGATAATTATCCTAACTGACTTTTGCAGAAGCTAGGAACAAAGGTTTCACTGGGAGTAGCTTTCCAGGGTCTCTGGCATATATCTTTGTTTCTACTGTCTAACTGAAAATGCCAGCATTTGAAGCTGGCACAAATCATGGGTTGGATCCAAACCTAGATCCTTGCTGTCTCTGTTCTAGGGCAGCCCCTGGCCCCCCAAAAATGCTACACAGGAAGCGCTGCTGAGCATACTACACTGTGGCAGAGGTGGGAAACACCTCTTCCTCATATAGAAGGCACATCCTGGATCCAAAGGTTATTCAAGGTTTTGCAAAGGTTAAGGTGCAAAGTTTGGGTCCAGAGATTACTTATTAGTAGGCACTTATTATGTGTGCATATATGAGTATGAATACATAATAAGGTAACAAAACTTTTCAGACACTGGTAAACTTACAGATAAGTAGAAATTTGTTGAGTTCACATTTTAATGTGATTTTTTTTTAAAAAAACAACAACACATTTTTAATCCAAACTGAAAGCCACTTGAAATTCACACTTCTCTGAATTCTGCAATTGAGCTCTCCAATCTAAAAATTCATAGACAAGTTTGTATATTAGAAAACATGCAGATAAAATGTATCTGCATGTGTATATCAGTTGCAGTAAAACTGAGACACGTATTATATTAAAGAAATTGCTTGCAAATAATTGTCCATTAGTTAAATTGTTATAAAATGCATTTAATAGGAGAAATGTGCACAAGCGTGCATTTAATTGTCATGTATTTTTAAACATTGTGAAAGTCTGGACAGACTGGACTAATTGAAACTGAATCTACAAAAGTTATGATTTTGAAAGGGGCAATAAATACTGTCAAGTGGATTTCACATTTTGCAGGAAAACACTGCCACATTGTGATGATAGAACTACACTTCTTTCTTTAAACAGAAATTATTATTTTTGTGTTTTCCCTGCAACTTTGGCTATCACTTCCCAAAAGTGGAAGAAACCTCAACTTTTTCCTCTTTTGTTCCTTACCCTGTATTTTCTTCTGTTCAAAAGTATGCTTCATTGTACATTTAAACAAGTTTATCTTTATCCAAATGACTCCTTTTTTGAAAAACCTATAAAACCTTTAATCTTTTCCTTCGTACTGTATTTTAATGTTTTGTATGCCCCCACCTGGTTTCATTTGACAAAATCTTTCGAGAACACCTGACTTCCATATGCCAGCCTTCTTCAGCATCAGTTACAGTCAGTCAAATGGTGGCTACTTCCAGCATGTATGAGTGTGCAACCAGTGGTCACAAGGGGCTGCTCTCCTGGTGCACCTTTTGTGAAAAGCCTACTTCAGATTCAGTGGCAGTGCACAAATTGTGACAACTTTTGGCACACAAGGGAGTCACTGCTTACGCAGTACTTGGGGGCTTGATTCCTGGTGAGCACCCTGTGAACATTGGGCACATTCACCAGGAACTTGAACCCTGGGCTGTTGCAAAGTAGATAGGAGTCTGGCAAGCCAGGTCCAGGGAAACCAATGGATTCCCTCCCCTGAACAGATTCTTCCCACATCCCAGCAACAACCAGTAATTTTTTATTTTTGGTTTGATACAAGTTCTTAGAGTTAATTGAAAACAACAACAACCAACTGTCCCCTTCAGTACCTAAATCCTATCACCAATATATGTCAACTATCTTCTTTATTCTATGGAGGTTTTGTTAGGATGCTTATTTATGTATTTACTTATTTTATTTCTATATCCCCCAACAGCCAAAGCTTTCTTATGCTGACAATCTATACCTACCTCAGTCAGGACAACTATTTGTTTGACTCCTAAATGTATTCAATGCATCCATTAAATTATTTGACAAGACTTTTTAGATAGAAGGTGAAAAATGTCTTCCAAGCAAGTCAGAGAACCAGAATATGATTCTATTTCCTTTTGTCCAGATTGTCTCCTGTTCAACGGGCTTCCTTACGGTACAAATTACATAAACTATTACCTATATTACATACAATATACAAAGCTTACAAACTTGTTTACACTCCAACATGGCTTCTCATAATTACACGAAAGAAAGATACTCAGGTGCTGTTATTAATTTTGAAAGAATAGTATAGACAACATACATAGTTCTTAGGTGTTGGACATGTAAAACACGGGAGGAACATGTCAGAAGTAGACTACTTAATGGTTCTATAAAAGAGTTTAACCAATCAGAAATGTATTAGTTGGTGTGTGAAGCCTGTAACCCTCTAAACTCAGAGCAGAACAAGAGGTTGCCTCTGTATTCTTGCTCTGCAAAGCATCAAGCCAGTCAGGAAAGTAAGGAGTCTGAGGCACTGCCACAATATGTCAGATCAGGGCCCACTGCCCATTCCCTCTCCTGCTCACTCAACTTTCTCTCTTGGAGTAAAAGACTCCACAGGGATGCAGCAAACGTCATTCTTTCCAGCAGTGGGGAGGACACTGTGAACTTTTCCAGCCTTCTAGCTAGGTCACTGAAAAATCCTAAAGCCATTCAAATGTCATCTAGCAGCTACAGGATTGGGCATCCCTTAGTGAAATTATATTGTCACCTATTGTACAGGTCACAGGTATGGTGTAACAAAAACAAAAAGCCTTGATAAATGACTCCAGTAATTATGGATTTTAAAGCACTAATTACCTTGCTAAAAGACCCTCTAAAACACATCCTTGGCAAAATGTGCTTTCCCAAATATTTATTGATGCTTTCCAGATTTTTTAAAAATGTCAAACCTGGGTAATGTATGTTACAACACAAATATGAGTATATTGAGGTTTTAGTTACAGGGCACTGCAAATTTTAAACACCTCTTAAGGAGCAGATATAGCAAACTTAAAGCAAATCATTAACGCATTGAGATAAAATACATGCAAAACTTGTCTCTTTTGAAAAAAATTCAAAGATGATAAGCTCTGATAATATTGTCTGAAAATTAAAACTCAGAGATTTGTCTCAAAAGCTGATTGAAGTATCACAGATATGAGATATGATTTATTTATTAGATTTATATCCCACCTTTTCCTTTTTTAAAGAACTCAGAGCAACTGACATCATTCTCCTGCTGCTCCTCTAACTCTTATCCTCACATCAACAACCCTGTGAAGCAGGCTGGGCTGGGAGTCTGTGATTGGCCCTAAGTCACCCAGTTGGCTCCATGCCTGAGCCACAAAGAGGGCCAGGTCTCTTCTCAATCATACCACAGCAACATGGCATGGAAAAATGGGCTCAAGTTACAGGAAGCCAGATTCCAGCAGAACATCAGGAAAAATCTCCCGACTGTTTCAGCAATATGACAATGGAACCAATCCCTTAGAGAAGTCATGAGCTTTCCCACACTGGAGACATTCAAAATTCATTCGGGCAGTCTTTGTTGGGGATGCTTTAACTTGGACTCCTGCATGAAGCTGAGGGTTAGTTAAACCTGATGGCCTTATAAGCCCCATCCAACTCTATTATTTGATTCTATGAAATGCATGACAGTTCTAGCTAGAGTTGTCTCTGAACCAGAGCACACTGAAAGTCTTATGAAAATTTTATTAGATTTACATCCCACTTTTTTTCTTTCACAGAACTCAAAACAACTTGCAGAATTCTCATCCTGCTCTGAATCTTATACACACAACAAAGCACCCTGTGCAGTAGGTTGGACTGAGAGTCTGACTGGACCAAAGTCAACCAGCATTAAAATACCCTTTTTAAATGGTAGCAAAACAGCTTATAATGGCACAAAAGTGTGCAGCTATGCACCCACTTCTTTCCCTATGCTTTTTAATTTTTCACTGATATGCCACTTAGAGCATTGGTGTAGGGATACATGAAGCACATGCAATTCAAACATACCTGATATGTGGAGACAGGGGAAGCAGCAATGAATGGTGTGATAGATGTCTGTGGAATCATGCGGTTTGTAGCAATACTGTACGGTGAGGAATAAAATCTGCAAACAAAAAAACAAAAGGAAGATTCTTGAGATAATGGACCGACATGTTGCAATGAACGGTTTCATAGCCAATCAAAGGCAAATGGGATCCTTGCAGATTAATGATGCCCCTGTCTTTCCAAAACAATTGCCTAAATCTAGTTTCACTTATACTAAATGGTCTTAACTGATTAATGTCCCAGTGATGTCAATGAGCCTATCCTAAGTCTAATTTAGATTCAACATAGTATGTTTTTAAATGTACTGGTCCTTTGGATTGTGGTTAAGATGTTGGGAGAACAAAAAGTTTCTTTTATTAAATAGATTTATTCAGATTTCTAATAACCTCAAGGTCAAACACCTGACAAAAACTATAAGCAAAACCAAGACTGCAAACGTTCTAATTCATACTTAATTCAGCCTGGGTAACTTCAGTAATATGACATTTGGTTGTGGAATTTTTCAAGTCTGTCACAAGATTATATTTATTGTCTGGTTCACAATCTGTTTATTTTGATAACACGCAGTACCTTTGCAAAAAAGGGAAGGGGTACACATATTTAAAATATAAAGCATACAGAGCAGGACTAGCCAACCTTATTGCCTCTGGGTGTTTCAGACTGCAACACAACTTGCATGATCAATGAGCAGAAATTATGGCAGTTTGGAGCAAAACCACTGGAGGACATTTGGTAGGATACCTCTCGTGCACAGGATATCCTAGATGGATTGATGTACAATCTCCATCAACAATCTAACCGTAGAATCATTGTTAATATGGCAACAAACATTAGATTATGTATTTCAACACTGCCCTTTATGACATTAACTCCACACTGTAGAGCAGTAACCCACTTAAAATAAATCAGAGATCTGTGAGAGGAAGAATGTGACTGGGTGGTCAGCAAGTAACTTTTGTTTGAACTAGTCACTGGTTATTCTAAAGATGCCTCTTCCCAAGCAAGGGATGTAACGCAAGTGCATAGGGGAAGGAGAGCTTTCTGCTTTTCTTTCATGAAATATCAGTAGTTACTAAGGTTGTGTCAGTTGTAATTCCTAAGCTCACACTTACAAAGTCACTTGAGAGCGTGCAGGAAAGACTGGCATATGAAGAAGTGATGAAGAATAGATGTTCTCAAAAGTATTAGAACTGGGGCAGTGGTGAGTGACAACCCAGAATTACTGACGGATGAGCTCTGCTTCTGCTTTAGGAACCAAGGAGTAACATGAATCATTGTTGTGTAACAGAATGAATTCCGCTTGTGATGTATTAATATATTGACTGTTGTACTAAGTTTTTCAATGAAGTCAGACATTTATTAAGTATAACTATTATTATTAATCAAGTGAGATTCTGACATAACTACTGAACTACTTTGATAACTGAACTATTGATTTACTGAGCTATTAATTATAAACATGGATATCATGCAATTTTGAGGATCTCTGCTCATGATCTGCTATATTGATTTGCGTCTCTTAATAAACTGAGCTATATAGATAGGTTATCTCAAGGCTTGTGCTAAACCCATTTAAAATAACTGAATGAAGCCAAAATGGAATGCAAAGTTTTTATCATATTGACATAGGTGCATTGAAGTAACACAACAATTAATTGAACTGTATCGGTAGATCATGGATTAATAAATTTACGGTGCAGTCCTAGGAACATCTATTCAGAAGTAAACTACCTTTAGAAATAAATGGGGCTTCTTCCTACAATAATGTGCATACATGTTCCATCTAAGCTAACTCATAAACTAAATCTCTCAGGTACAGTACAGGACCCACCCCTCTCCAAAGTCCCTTCTGATAAGGGTGAGGGGAGAGACAAGCTGGCTTTGTCAGGAAATACATGCAGTACTCTGGGAGTTGCTGGGATGGAGTTCGCAAAGAAGGAAAAATGCCAACATTCCATCTGGTAGCTGCCATGTAAAGCATGCTATTTTGAACAACATATACAATAGTAACCATGTTAAAACATATGGTAAACATGTTGAGGTAACAGCAGATATAAAATCACAAAACACTGATGATGGGAAAGAATTGAAATTCCTGGTGTTGGATCTGACATGGAAAAAAATTACATGGAAATGTGGCATTTCTTTTAGGAATGTGCAATAGATGGATGAAGGACAATGGTTTCTATATATTTTGAATTAATTGCAAAAAAATTCTCTCTCTCTAACTTCATGGGGATCTGTTTTAATGGCATTTTATTTTATTTTTTTCAGTCAGATCTAGAAACAAATAATTCAAATAGTTCAATCAAAAGATCTCTTGCTTAAATATTTAAGTCTAACTTTTATCCTTCTGATACATGGACATTTCAATACAGCAGTAAAAGATTAAACTTTATTCTAAAATGAGTAAAATATATGCTCCTTTATAAATTTCCATATTTGTTGCAATACTACAAATAAATAAATTTAGAAATATCTAATATAGACCATAGGAAAATTCTGATTTTCCTCCTATTTTCCTCTCTTGATAGTGGTATTTCAAATAGTTAGAAATAAAAGCTAGATACCCTGTTGTTGTATAATGGCAAAGTCTGTATAACAGCTACTTACATAGTATTTTCAAGAAATTCTACTCACAGAATGGTTTATGGTCTGGATTCCCCCAAAGCTGTAATTAAAGGCCCCACAATATTCCCAGGAGGCCATCTAGAAGACTTTAAAAAATGGCATGAGTGGCTCTCCATTGGTGGAGAACCTCTGGCAGAAAAGATTCCAAGATATGCTGGCGGAAACCTAAGCCAATATCCATGTCCTACCAGTGAAGATTTGCTGGTGGGGTAAGGTAATTTGGTTCTGCTGACACAGGTTTGGAACTGCTTTCAGGTAGCCCAACACTGCTAGTTTCACAACTGCTGTACTTATTTCCCTATCAATGCGAAGTAGGAAGAAAAACTACCCATCACCTATGATACAAGCGAAAAACTACAATAAAAAAGAAAATAAAAATCTTACTTACATGCTATTGAAAAGAACCTAGGAAAATCTTACACATGGGAGATGATTTGAACAACTAATTTTTACCACATACAGAGATTGTCTGAAAACTAGCTCATATGGTGATGTAATAAATGAAAATTATTGTCAATCCCATCTACGAGAGAGCCAATAGATTTGCAATACTGAGGAGTAAAAATATTGTTGCATGAAAATAACCTCTCAAGGTATTTGACAGCTCTAAGCCTAGGAAATTAGGTTATCACTACATTTTCAGCAGAAAAGTGTTAGAAATTCAAGTAACAATGAATGAAGCTGTAGTTGAATAAATAATAACAGATAAAGGCATAACAAATGATAGAGGTTGAAAAAAAGGGCTCCAGTTCTAAGAAGACTCTCTGAATAATATTATAAGAAATTGCTATCATTTTAAATAATACCTCTTATTAATACCATCAATAAGGATTTATGCAAAGATAATATTCCTGAATCCTGGAAAACAACTAAAATGTCTTTTCTGGGTCAAAAGGAATAAATGACTTTCAGCTAGATTTATTCAGACCAATCTCCTTACTGAATGAGGATTTCAAAGTATAGACTATAATTTTGCCAAGCAAATTGAATAGAGTAATTGATCAATTAATATAGAATGATCAAGTAAATGCATTAGTGGAGCGGATTATGTAGATCACATAGTTTTCACAGGTATTAAACCTATCGAATACTTAAAAGACATTCAAAACCTCAGAACAAAATTTAGATGATGGGATAGAAATGGGATAGATATTAATAAGGAAGAAACTGAAATTATTTAGTAATTAATTTAACAAGCAATTAAAATACAGGTAAACAGTGAGTATAATTGTAGATGGAATAAGGAACCAGTAAGAAAGTTATCCTATGGTCCCAAGACATCCTCTGGAAGGCTAGTAGAGAATACTGTAGTTTTTCAGATCCAAGGGTGGAGGCAGAGTGCCAACCTTACGGTGAGGAATATATACTATATACTATGACATACTATTCCATGCAGAGCTGGCATGAAAAAGACTGCACCAGCTGCTTCTCCAAAATTGGAAAAATAACTTTGAGAGGTAATAAAGGGGACAGGAAGTAAGGCAGGGAGAAGAGACAAGATGGCCACCAGGAGATGAGCCATCCTGATGGCACTCCAGTCTTCAGTGCTCCTCTAAGTCTGGTTTGGTTAAAATATAACAAGTACCTGCGATCTGGTATAACTCCGTAAATGGTTTTCCATTTGTGGATTGGATCTGTTCAACTGAAAAGAAACCCCTTCCGTTAATGTAACAAAATTGAGGATCCAAGTCATAGAAACTACTTAGAAGTATTTCTATTTGGGAGAGCTATGATTTAGCAAAACTAGGATGATAGGATAAATAGATATTTTGTACAGTGTCATGCTGAGTAAAATATCTCTGTTCACTATATCAAGTGACTGTGGGTACTGTCTGAACCCAAAGTGAGGAAAACTAAAGACCTCCTCAAGATCTTAAACACCCTCCCCAAAACATACTTTAATCAATGCTCCTGTCTAGACTCCCTTGATTTCAGTACTTGCACATCAGATCACAAATTAATATTTAAGTAGAAAATACAAAACTTTGCAAAACACACACACACACACACACACACACACAAAACCCCCTCTTTATTTGAAATTCTAGTCACTGCAAAGGAATAGAAAGGTCCAGCAGATAAAATACATAAATTAGTGACACTGAGAACTGTGCCCATTAGTAACCTTAAAAAACCGGAAAAGGACCTGCATCTCCAGTAAGAGCTGGAAATGACAACAGCAAGAGAAAACATGAAGGAAAGTTATTATAAAATACCAGCTGTGCTTGACTCTATGTAGACAATTTAAATCACCAAAATGTTGGGCAATGTGAATGAATAAAGACAGATTTTAGTAATATATTTTGCACTTGTCTAACTACTAACGTACTGGATAGAAAACTTAAAATGTAGTTCAAGAAGAAAACAGGATATAACTTATCAGTGGATCATGTTGCAATTCTTCTGAGCTGCCTTCAAGAAATGAAT